TGGATGGGTGGATGGGTGGATGGGTGGATGGATGGATGGATGGATGGATGGATGGATGGATGGATGGGTGGATGGGTGGATGGGTGGATGGGTGGATGGATGGATGGATGGTGTGGGTGGGTGGATGGATAAACAAATGAATAGGTGGGTAGGTGGCTGAGTAGATGGGTTTCGTCTGTCAATTCAGAGAGGTGTAGCCTCAGCCACACATCCAACCACCCTTGGAGCCTCAGTGTCTTCATCTGTAAAATGGGAGTGACAGGTCACTGGCAGGATGCAGGGAGCTGAGGGCAGAGCTGAGTCCCCAAAAGGAAGCTGTGGGCACAATGCTTCCAGTATCACTAACTCCAAAGCATCGGAAATCATCAGGGCAGGAAACGTTAAACCCATGTATGACTGGCCCAGACCTCAGAGGTATAGCCAGCACCTGGCACAGTTCCCAAACCACGAGGCTCCTGCTGGGTAGGCCAGCCAGGTGCCTACAAGGCCACAGGTGGGTCAGGAAGGCCACGATGGTTCGGCACTTACTGATATCTAACAAGGGAAAGGTGCAGGCCCAGCAGCAGCAGGCACTGGCCCCCAAGGGTTCCTGCCCATGGGACTGGCCATCAAATGCCTGTTACCCACAGAACAACTGGGACAACTGCTAGTTTGCTTACAGCAAAGGTGGGGGGAGAGGGCTAGGGGTGGGTTCAACAGAGCCCCTTGCCACGACCTGCATGGTCTCCTCCAAGCAGGGACACCCACAGGTCACCAGAGTGGGTAAGGCAGGGAAGAGGAAGGCAAGGCTGGTTACAGTGGGGTGATACAGGGAAGGTCCTCGGGTCCAAGCATAGTGCTCAGTGGGACTCCACACCAAGCACCAGGCTCAGCCCTGCCCAAGCACCACAGGCCTCCCTGGGAACCCAGCGGTGCCTGGAGCCTCCTCTGGGCTGGTGAGGCCTAGGATGGCAGGCTACCTAGGAGAGGGTCTAGACCTCTCCAACAGATGTCGATGGCAGGAAGGAACACACAGTCTTGACTGCAGCCCATGCCCTTCGGAGAACGTCTAGTCTGCCAGCCCGCCAGCCCTTGCCCCAGGCTCAGAGAATTGGCATGAGCAGCCCAGGGTCCATGGCAAGGAAGTGGCCAAGGGAATAGGGCTTGGACACAGCCTCAGGCTCCCCCTCAGAGCACCCACCAATCCCATACCAGGCCCAGGGTGGCCTGAACACAGAGCTGTCCCTTGCCCCATGCAAGCCCACAAGGTTGGCTTCCTGCAGGGATCTCCTTTCTCCTCCCAGGGACCCAGCCCCCAAGGAGTCTTTCTGTCAGCAGCTGAACCTCTGACCAGCTGGCCTCACTGGCCTGACCCAGGACAGGCCTCTGGGGACCTTGAAAGGAATGCCCAGTGGGAAACCACAGGAGCGGAGTCAAACCATAAAGCCCCACTCTGCTCAGCCTCTATGTCCACCACCTGCAACCTACTATGCAAACAGTACACCTGGCTCGCATCCTGCATTTGCAGGTGTGCTCACAAGTGTGCAGACCCTACTGTTGAGCTCAGGAATGTGGCAGACATGTTGAGGACAGTTGGTGGGGCAAAAACTGTGCAAGTAGACACATGGCTTGCCACATGAGTGCACACCTGTGTGCAGATGTGTCAATACAGCACAGCAGGTACATCTGGGCTTCCACATGGGGACACAGTACACCTGTGTACCCATCTGTGAACTCAGCCTCAGGCTCCAAGCACAAGCCCAGCTGTGTGGCCCTCAGGTATATGATATGTGCATGTGGTTAAGTGGCTGCCAGGATGGTATGTGGACAGGCTGGTATGGCAGTGGGCAAAGCGCAGAGCTGTGCATACCCACATGCACTGCACACAGGTGCACACTCACAGGCTGTCCTGCAGCTCCTGTGTGTCACTTGGCCTCCCCAGGGACCAGAGGCTCTGCTACAAAGAGATCACTGCAGAGAGAAGGGGGACAGCCCAGCCAAGCGTGGCTCAGTGGTTGAGCATCGACCTAGGATCCAGGAGATCGGGGTTCGATTCCCAGTCAGGGCACGTGCCCAGATTGCGGGCTAGGCAGCCAATCAATGACTCTCATCATTGATGTTTCTACCTCTCTCTCCCTCTCCTTTCCTCTCTCTGAAATCAATAAAGATATATAAATAAATAAAAGTGAGAGAAGGGGGACAGGTATAAGAAGCAGAAGTCCCTCCTCAAGGAGATGTCCCAAGGTGCATGCCCCACCCCCAACAAAGGCAGGCAGGGAGCCCAAGGACAGGTGGCCCAGGCCTGGGAGACCATCTGTGTGACTGTGCACCTGCCAGGACACCAGAGCTGGGCAGTGCTCTGGAGCAGTGCTGGGGGCTTCACTGCTGGCACAGCACAGTCCCATGTCTGTTCAGTCATGCCTCCAGCAGAGGCCCTGGGCAGGTCCCTCCCCAGCTGTCTCAGGACAGGCCAAGGCCCATGTGGGGTGCATGGGCTCCTGAGTGCTCTTCCAGGGGGCCCCACCCTTAGTCTGTGGAGGGGGCATCTCTCCTCTCCCACTTTTCTTCCTCTCCTGGTCAGCGCTCTTACTGACTGATCTCAGGGAGCAGAGGCAAACACCCACCCTCACCCACATGTCCCAGGTCTGCAGGAGCTAGCCTTGTGGACTGTGACTCTCGCCCCAACCCCCAGCCTTGGTGATCAGTGAATCAACCAGCCAGCCAGCCTGAGGGAAGCTTCTGACTCGCTCCTTCCCCCTGGGGACTTGTCCCAATCACAGAGGGCCAGGATATCGAGGGGCCCAGGAGGCAGAGCTGAGGGAAATACCTGCTGCAGGAGCCCAGTCACAGAGAAGCACTGGGGTCAGGAATAGAGGCTGGGGTGAGGGGGGCAGGGCAGCCAGGGAAATAGTCACCCAGCTGCCCTCCTGTCCTGAGACACCTGAGCCTAGACTGCAGGGGGGAAGGCCAAGGGCACAGCAACCACTCTGTGTCACTTCGACCCTGAATGGCACGCTGGGTGGCCCAGGACAGCCAGGCCAGGGCAGGGCTGGAATGCAGACTCACCATTGGAGTTAATGCGGAAGACACTGGCTACCGTCTCCTGGAACAGCTCCTGCAGGTCCCTCAGGTCCACTTGGGTGGTCACAAGAAGACAGGGAGGGAAGGGCACACATCAATGGTGTCTGCGGAGCCCAGCACCACAGAGCACAGGGGCNAGTGAGAGAAGGGGGACAGGTATAAGAAGCAGAAGTCCCTCCTCAAGGAGATGTCCCAAGGTGCATGCCCCACCCCCAACAAAGGCAGGCAGGGAGCCCAAGGACAGGTGGCCCAGGCCTGGGAGACCATCTGTGTGACTGTGCACCTGCCAGGACACCAGAGCTGGGCAGTGCTCTGGAGCAGTGCTGGGGGCTTCACTGCTGGCACAGCACAGTCCCATGTCTGTTCAGTCATGCCTCCAGCAGAGGCCCTGGGCAGGTCCCTCCCCAGCTGTCTCAGGACAGGCCAAGGCCCATGTGGGGTGCATGGGCTCCTGAGTGCTCTTCCAGGGGGCCCCACCCTTAGTCTGTGGAGGGGGCATCTCTCCTCTCCCACTTTTCTTCCTCTCCTGGTCAGCGCTCTTACTGACTGATCTCAGGGAGCAGAGGCAAACACCCACCCTCACCCACATGTCCCAGGTCTGCAGGAGCTAGCCTTGTGGACTGTGACTCTCGCCCCAACCCCCAGCCTTGGTGATCAGTGAATCAACCAGCCAGCCAGCCTGAGGGAAGCTTCTGACTCGCTCCTTCCCCCTGGGGACTTGTCCCAATCACAGAGGGCCAGGATATCGAGGGGCCCAGGAGGCAGAGCTGAGGGAAATACCTGCTGCAGGAGCCCAGTCACAGAGAAGCACTGGGGTCAGGAATAGAGGCTGGGGTGAGGGGGGCAGGGCAGCCAGGGAAATAGTCACCCAGCTGCCCTCCTGTCCTGAGACACCTGAGCCTAGACTGCAGGGGGGAAGGCCAAGGGCACAGCAACCACTCTGTGTCACTTCGACCCTGAATGGCACGCTGGGTGGCCCAGGACAGCCAGGCCAGGGCAGGGCTGGAATGCAGACTCACCATTGGAGTTAATGCGGAAGACACTGGCTACCGTCTCCTGGAACAGCTCCTGCAGGTCCCTCAGGTCCACTTGGGTGGTCACAAGAAGACAGGGAGGGAAGGGCACACATCAATGGTGTCTGCGGAGCCCAGCACCACAGAGCACAGGGGCATTTCCAGAGGCAGGAGTCTGCAGTCGCTACCATCCTGGCAGGCGCCCTCAGGTGGGACAGAGCATCCAAGATGGAGCCAGCGCCCGCCTGCCCATGCGGCACTCAGCTGCAGGAGAGAGAAAAGCAAACAGAAAGGCCAAGCGGCCAGTACCACCCGTCTAGGCAATCCCACTGCCAGGCACACTCACGAGAAACAAGAACCCAGGTCCCCACCTGCACACACATGTTCACCCACCACAAAGCAGAAACACCACATCCATCAGTCACGACAAGGTGAGGTCTGTCCCAACCACGGAATGTCACTCAGACATGGAAAGTCACCAGCATTGCTAGAGCGCAGCTGAGCCTCACGCACACCACCAGCAAGGGAAGCGCAACATACAGGCCACGCACACGAAGTGTCCAGACCCACAGAGGCAGCCAACAGTCCAGAAAGCGGACCTGTGGTCACGAGGGGGAGGGGGGGGCATGAGGGTGACCGCTAATGTATGCGGGGTTTCTTTTTGGGGTGACAAAATGTTCTGGAATCAGATAATGGTGATGATTGCACAACACTGTGAATGCACTAAAAACCACTGAATTTAACTAGGATGGGTAAAATGGTGAATTTCACATTGCGTGAATTTTGTCTCAATTCAACCACCATTCCGAACGTCTTGTGGACACCACCAAGTCCTGGCAAGGACAGAACACTCACACATGGCTGGGCGAGTATAAAACAGCAGGGTCACTACAGAGAGACCTGCTGCCCCCAAAGAGACCAGATATCTACCCGCCCGTGGCCCAGCAGTGCTACAGTGAGTATTACGCTGAGAGGCAAACATGTCCACAAGAAGCTATGTGAAACATACACCGCGGCCTCGTCCTCAAAGCCTGGGAAGGCACCGCGGCTCACGGACAGACACACAGGCACAGGGCCCTTCCTGTGATGGAGCTGCCAGAGGAGTGACATGTAACACAGGCAGAACTCAGGAGCCTCATGCCAAGGAAAGCAGCCAGACACCAGGGCACACAATCAGGCAATAGGGTCTGATTTATATGACGCTCCAGAACAGACAGCAGGAACCGAAGGTGCCCCAGGGGCTGCAGGGGCTCCAGGGTAATCGTCTCTACACCAGGACAGGGTGCGGGTCACCAAATACACACATTAGTCAAACCCCCACCCCAAGTGACACCGTGCCCTCAGTGGCCATGCAGGGCTCTGGAGCTTGCAGGGATCGCTCCCTGGGGACCTGCAGAGACAGAGCCTCTGAGACATCCAGTCTGGTCCCTGGCCAGTGGGCAGATGCCAAGGCTCCAAGGCAAGCCACCTGAGTGCCCAGGGCATTGAGCAGTGATCACAAAGGGCCACGTCTAACAAGCTAAATTTGTGTTAGGGGTAGGCTACTCTAGTACCCTAAAAGATTTTAAAACAAGCCTCGAAAAGATCAAAGTGACCCACAAGTAACTTAAGTGCTCCGGAACAAAGTACATTTCTCTTCAAAGGAAAAAAATCCAGCACAAATGATATAACATTCACAATTAAAACTCACTGGACACACGGAAAAGCAGGGAAATGGGACCCCTAACCATGAGACAAATCCATCAACAGAAAACCTGACCCAGAAACACAAAGAGATGACAGAGTATGTACGGAGGAGCATGTACCACAGTCAGGAAAGTGCCCAAGGATGCAGAGGACACACCTGCCAAGTGAGGACACAAAAGACCCAACAGTGCCTCTGAAGATAAAGTGGAACATGGGACCTGAAACTTCCTGCTTGGGGTCAGCAGCAGATTGGACACTGAGAAGGAAGGAGCAGTGGACTTGAGGACGAGTGACAGAAGCTAAACAAAAGGAAACAGGAAAAGACCACAAAGGTGAAAGAGCCGTGGGACTCTCAGTGTGGCAGCAACCATCACACAAGCAGAGCGAAAAGAACAAGAAATAAGGGCCACAAGTACCCAAATTTTACACAATTATAAACTGAGTTCTAAGTCCCAAGCAGAATACATATTAAAAATAAAAAGCCCAGGCACATTATAGTCAATGTTGCAGAAAACCTGTGATAAAAAAGCAGCTTTAAAGGGGCCCAGAATAAAACACACGTCACCACGCAGAAGAACAAGGTATGAGAAGGGCTCCGTCCCTCCGTCAGAGTCGATGGAAGCAAAGACTACGCAGTGACATCTTCATAAAGTAGCAAGAGAAAGGGAAACTTTCAGACAGAATTCTATACCCAGTGGAGAAATATTTCAAAAATAGAGGCAAAATACAGATTTATTTTAGACAAAAGAGCTAAGAGAATCTGTTCCAACCAGATGTGCACCCAAGGGCATGCTTCAAAAAAGTCCGTTGGGTCAAAGAAACAGTAAAAGGAAACTCAGATCTACAGAGGAACCGAGGAGCCCGGACGGTGAGTGCGGAGGCCAATGAAAAGGACACTGTGTCTCGCTCCTAACTTACCTAAGAGATGATGGTGACAGCAACATGCGCTGCTACTGACACACCTGCGGTAAGTGCATGAGAACAACCCCAAGGGCAGGAGGGACACAGGAACCAGGGGCTGCGGGATTTGCACATCACAACAAAATAACAATGCATTTGCAGGTAGGCTTGAAAAGCTAAATATGTATATTGTAAACTGTAAAGCAAGCAGTAAATAGCAACACAAACAGGTACAGTTCATAAGCCAACAGCAGAGGCAAAGGAACATTAAACAGCATCCAATAACTCCAAAAGAGGAAGAAAGAGAGAAAACGAGAACAAAAGGAAATATAAATAGCAAATGTCAAGGTGGGAGATTTAAGCCTAAAAGCACTGGTATTTACACTAAAGGTAAATGATCTAAACCCGAGTCATCCGAACCTGTCCACACGTGGCCAGTGGCGATCACACTGGCCGTTCCCATCACCCAGAGTCCTGGTGGAAGGCACGGTGCACCCTTTCCAATCAGAAGGGAAGGGTCAGGTGCGATTGAGAGCAAACTCCATTAACACTGAATACAGGACACCTACCTCATAAAATCAGACAGCACATGTAAGTAAAAGGATTGGGAACTGTATCATGACAACAGTAACCACGAGAAAGCTGGGGTGGCCACACTAACATCAAAGAGAGAACTCAGAAGAATGCACATAACGGTGGAGAGAAGGGACATTTTACAATGATAAAGGGGTCAATGGGTCAAGAAGACAAACCACTCCTAAACAAGCACGCCCCTCGTATCACAGCTTGAACACACGACACAGAAACAGAGCCAGAAGGAGAAACAGGCAACTCCACAATCACAGCGAGCTGTCAACATCTCCCTGGGAGGTTAACAGAACAAGTTGACAGAAAATCAGTGAGGATGTGAGGACTCTAACAACACTATCCACCACCTCAACCTGGACGACATTCACAGGGCACCCCACCCAACAACCATAAACGCACACTTGTCAACTGCACATGGAACACGCGGGGGTTACGTGGTATGCCAGGCGTAAAGCCCCTCTCTAGACAAAACAAGAGCTGAAACCACACAAGAGACAGTCTCTGACCACCACAGACTCCAACTACAGATCAGTAACAGAAAGCTATCCAGAAATAGAATTATTTGCAAATTCATACTTCTAAATAGCAAAAGAAGAAATCACAACTAAAGCTAGAAAATATTTTTAACAGCGAAAGCACAATGCATGTGAATTTGTTTAAGTGAAGCAGTGCATGCAGAAAACGTATAGCAATAAACACTTATATTAAAAAGATCTCAAGTCAATGATCTAACAAGAACGGATTAACCCGGACGTAAGAGGGAGGGAATAACAGATGAGCAGAAATCAATTACATCAAGGTTAGGTAAGCACGAGAGTAATGAAATCAAATCTGGTTTTCTGAACAATCAATAAAATTGATAGGCTTACAGTCAGACTAATCAAGGACAGAACAGAAGACAGATGAGCCATCTTGGGACAGGAGAGGAGCTCTCACTACTGAGCCTACAGACATTCAGACAACGCGACAGGAGTATCATGAACAACTTCGATGAAATGGGTCAGTTCCCTGAAAAACCCTTGAGAAGAAACAGAAGCACGCAGCGCGGCCTAACATAAGCAAAGCTGCAGTGTAAAACCTTCCCACAGTGAAAGCGCCAGGCTGAGGGCTGCATCCTGAATTCTGCTCTGCACACGCTCCCTCTGAACAAAGGGCCTGGGGAACGGGCCGAGTGCGAGGGTAACTCAGTGGGAAGGGGCAGTCTTCAGCGCACTGCTGAACAACGCTACCCGCTGGTGCGACCCCAAAAGTAGCCTAACTCAAAACTAACCTGGCGCAGACCACAGACTGAAACATAAAGGCTGAAACCATGACTGGAACCAGGCTGCGAGGACCAAAACCACCAAAGAAAACAACAACAGCAACATGTACAACTTCTGACCTTCCAAAAAGATACAGTTAAGCAGATCAAACACAAGCAGAGCCTGAGTGAAAAGAGTTACCAGACAGGTGTCTGGCCAGCCCCGTGTCAGGAATCGAGCCAGAGCTCACTCAGTGAGCACAGTGGATGCAGATCAGACGGTAGATGTGAACAGACACCACACCCAAGACGGACATGCAGCTGTAAGGTCACGACAAAGCGCTCTGAGCCAGGAACCGCAAGCTGAACCGTGATGAGGTCCACCAGCTCAGCACCCTCTGGGCGGCCATGGTCATAGTGACACCCATCTGAGTGCAGGTAGGAGCAGAGCCCACGGAGCCAGTGTGGGGTCAGGGCTGACCAGGCACCACCACTTTGGAAAGGGTTTGGCATTTTCCTAAAACATTACACTTACTCTCAGCAAATGACTAGCAATTTGACTCAGGTATTTATCAAAGCCCCTAACAACCAACATATGTTTCTATACAGAGGTTTTACACAGGTGACAAGGGAACCGTCGTCACGGTGGACGGGACACAGACTGTGAGCATCCTCCCCTGAGCAGGAAAGGACGAACTACTGACACATGGACCAGATATGGGCGGTCCTCACCAAGGGCTGAGGACCAGTCTGATCTCGAGAGCAGACTGCGGACCGCCACTCGGGACACTGCAGGAGACACCTCACCCACGGCAGCCAAAAGCAAGTTAGCAGCTGGGCTAAGGGAGTGGAGGACACAAGTGCCAGGAAGGGACCAGGTGCTCTTCACTCAACTTGGTGGGGGACAGTGCGGCCAGGCACCCCTCACTGAGTCTACTGACAAAGCAGCACCCCCAAAGGAGGGCACAGAGGAGAACCCTCATTCTCCAGTGCCCCCAACACACCACAAAAGGAGGAAAATCCACTTCAGAGATTCGTCTCCTCCCCTCAACGACTCCGCTCGCACTATAGGTAGAACAAAAATCAGCAGAGCTTGTCAGGGCTTTTCTCAGGGGCCCAGCCTGCCCTTTGCGTCCACTGTGCACACAGATGATGGGACTTCTACAAGCACAGGACAGACAACCAGCCTCCACCTGGCACCGTTGCTCCCACACTGCACTGCAGCCGATGCTGGTGGCGGTTATATCGGGTCACAGGCTCCATGTCCGCCTGCTCTGTGAGCTGCCCTGCACTTCACCAGGTCCCAAAGGCACCTGCAGCAATGACAGGCTGGGTCACCTGCAGGAGGGGACCTGGCAGAACCCACAGAGCACTCCCTGGTCGGCACAGAGCCTACAGCACCCTGTGACCTTCCCCCGAGCTCAGTGATCTGAGGAGCCTGAGTGCACTGCGGTCACGGGAAGAGGTAGCCTCCACAGGCCACGTGGAGAGCAGGCGTCTGGATAACCACGAGGTCGGGGCCTGGGCTCTGCCTGGGCCGGTGAGGAGCAGCCCCGTGGACAGGCCACAGACGCCCCCCCCCCATGCTGCATGAGGGCCCAGGGACATAAGTTCCCACAGGTGACAATGGCCGAAAGGAAAAGGCAGAGGGCAGGGCCCGAGGAGGCATGCTGATCACTGCCCTTGCCCGGGCGCAGTGTACCCCACTCGCCTGGCATCAAAAGGGGACAGAGCCGGTGCTCGCTGCTAGCTTTGTTTTAAAGTTCTGGCCCTGTTTCAAGGTCAAAGGCTATGGGAGGAATTAGAAATGCCCCTGGGACCTAACTCCAGCACCCACCTGAGACCAGAGGGCTCAAAAGAAAGTGACCCACACACCCCTCGTATTCCCCTCACCTCCCCCCAACTCCACCCCAACTGCCAAGAGGAGAGGCTCTCCTAGCAAAGACTCCTGGGTCTAGACAGCCAGCACACTCCTGCAGGAGGGCAGCCTGCATGGCCTGGGGCTGCCACTGTGCCCGTCTCTCCTGGGGCCGCACGGGAGGCTGCAGCCTGCAAACACAGACACCCTCGGCCAGTGGGGGGGCCTGCTCAGACGCTCACCACCTCCCAGGCACCGTAGGTTTTGTGGTGCCCAGCACATCTCAGTTCTTGCTGCACACTGGCTGGGCGAGAACAGATCTGGGCCGTTTCTGGAAGGGAGCAAATTCCATCTGTTGCAGCCAAGGCTCTTGGCCAGTCCCAGGTGCTGTGACCTATCTGGGCAGCTTCCACATGCAGAGGACTGATGCCTGAGCAGTGGACACAATGTGGGGACTGCAAAACCCTCATCCTTCAGCGCCACGGCTGCTGCAGCCCCTAGTGCTACTGGGACCAAGTGCATCACACTAGCAACAGGCCAGGCATTCAAAACCACAGGTCTGACACCCAGGTCGTGAGAGAAGCTCAGAAAGTCAGCACGAGTACTTTATTTAACAGAAAGGACAGGAGAGCACAGGGCAGGGAGAACAGGGGATAGGACAGCACAGAGTGGGGAAGGAGGGGGGACAGGGCAGAGAAATGTCAGGATGATGGGATGACAGAGGGTTAGTCCCATTTTGAAAACTACGTGTCACACTGGCAGCAAAAGAAACTATTTCTTCACTGCAGCCACGGTCCTAAGGTAGGACGAGGTGCTCTGAGAGAAGCTGTGCCCCGTCTGTCCAGCCAGCTCTCGCTCTGCAGCGGGTGAGGGATGGACCTGAGGCAGAACTGAGGAGGAAGACAAACTCAGTGAAGCGGTTGGGTGCGTGGGTGGATGGACAGATGGATGGATGGACAGATGGACGGATGGACAGATGGACGGAGGGACAGATACAGGGTTGGGGACAGAGAATGAACCCACAGGAAAAATTCAGATGGCCGTGGGAGGGGAGCAGGGGGAGTCCTCTGCAGGAGGAGGAGCCTGCAGCAGCCTAGACCTGGAGCGGGGTCTCTGCCCTCCATTTACAGGTGACCTGGGGCAGGGACTCACCTCTGGGTGGCTCCAAGACAAAGCCCCCGGAGGGCAGGGCCTAGCAAAAGGTCTTGGCCACCATCTGCTCCAAGGCATGAGGCCAGGGCCTGGGGCTGTCCTACAGGTCAGCCAGTTTGCACAATGGCAAGCGGGTCCACTTGTGCTTGAGATCCATGAGGTCGCACTGGCAGTAGCCCAGCGCATTCACAGCCTGCAGAACGTGGCTCCACACGCGGTACCTGCGGGTCGGCTCAGCCTTCAGCAGCCCTGAGCTGAGCAGCAGCTAGTGGTGCTTGCTGACCTTGGACAACAGCACCTCTGTCTCCTGCGGACAAAAGTTGGGCTTCCTCTTCTTGGCCCAGGAGGTGCTGGGCCCCACCATCTGGCCATGGGCCCTGGCTACCGAATCCTTCCTCAGGCTGGCAGTGGGTAACAAGGTGGGCTCCGGCATCCCTCAGCCTTCAGGGACAGCCCCTGGCCCTGGAAAGGCACTAAAAGGCAGATGTTTAAGGCCTGGGCCATGAGAGTGGGGTGGCAGCTCCAGGACACTGCTGCCCACTCTCGAACATAGGCCACCACCCCTCCCTGCTGGGTGTCGAGAGGTCTGAGTCCAAGTCCTAGACCACCACTGCCTGGCTGGGTGCCATTCAGCAGAACACTTCACTTCCATCTCCAAAGGGGGCTACACTGGCCCTGCCTGTATCCCAGAGCCACTGTAAGGGACAAAGGAGCAAGACAGGCCAGGCAGCTGTCCCTGGGGCCAGGGCTGAGGCTGCTTCTAAGACATCGCTTGCCTGGGGGTGGCCCTCACCAATGACACTCCAGATGCCCTGGCCAAGAACCCTGAGGGTGCTGCTGACATGTGCCTTCTGTCCTCGGCGTGAGTCCTGGCCTCAGAGCAGGAGGGTGGGCAGGTGGCGACAGCCTGGTCTCAGATGCCCACTCCCCCTTGTCCTAAAGTACATCCCAGGACCCAACCTCCCTCACCCAGGCTGTGGGGTGTGAAGGGGCCAGATGAGCAGGTCCAGGGGCTGGGCCTGGGCCTGGGCCTGGATGTCACAGCAGGTGACATCCCTCCTGGCACGGGTCCTGCCCCATTCCAACATTCGCAGTCCTTGAGACTAGTGGGGCTGTGGAGATGGGCTGGGCCACGCCACAGCTTCTACCCAGGCTCCCCTGGCCTGAGCCCCTGGCTTCCCACCCACTGATCTTCACTCCTCACTGCTCAGTATCTCCAATGGCCTTGCCTGGGACCCCAGACCCAGCATCCCAGTGGAAGTACCTTGCTTCCTGGCCCTTGGGCCTGATGATCCTAGATCACAAGTCTTGTCCTTGCCCACACAGGGGTCCTGCAGGTTGCTCTCTGGCGACGAGCAGGGGAAATGGCAGATTCCATACTCCATCCAACATTTAGTGTACTCTACAGACAGCAAGGGACATCACAGTTATGCCCAGCCTGCCCACATGGTGGGTCAGGGCACCACTGGCAGAGCAAGGCCCACGCAGAGCAGCAGGCACCTCAGGTCTCCAAACAGCTGTGCGAAGAATCGGCTCTGCAGGTCTGAGTGTCCAACCCTAAGCCTCAGGAAAGGGCCCATCTCCCAAGAGGGCAGGGCCCACTGCTCTCCCTCTTTCTGAAGGGCTCTGTGGGAGCCTCCAGGAAGGGCCTCCTTCCCCGACGCCAGGCAAGGCTCCCTGCAGGCATACACTCCTGGTCCAAAACCCAAGCCTAGTGACTGATGCCCAGACATCAGTGTGTAAAAAGGAGGCCCCGCCCCGGCCAGGTGGCTCAGTTGGTTGCAGCACCGTCCCATACACTAAAAAGGTTGCGGGTTCAATTCCTCATCAAAGCACATACCTATGTTGTGAGTTCAATGTCTGGTTAGAGCGCATACAATAGATGTTTCTCTCTCACATCGATGTTTCTGTCTCTCTCTCTGACAGCATCTGCTCAGGTCACCTCAGAGCCTCTCCTGCAGGTGCAGGGAGGCCACAGGCCTGACTGGCAGCCCACATTGCTGCCCTGTGACTTCACCAAAGCAGCATCTGGTCACCAGAAATCCAGGCCCTGTTCGCCTCCCCCTGGTTACTCCACATAGCCGCCAGACATCTGTGGAGGGGCCATCTGATCTGTGCTCTGGAATCACATGACCCTTGAGTTTTGGGGGGAAGTTGCCCAGAGACAATTACTGTTTGTTTCTGATTATTAGAATAACACACACAATTGCAGGAAAACCCTTCAATGCAGACAATCACCAAGAAAACAATAAAGACCATTTGCAGCCACAGCATCCAAGGTGAGCAGGGTTGACACTGGGGGCAGGGACACTGCCCAATGGGAAGACTATGGACGTGGCTCCACTGTCATTCCCCACGTCTGCTCCCATGTCTGTCACTATGCTGGATAGTACAGAAGTCGCCCCGCATCTTCTACAACCAACCCTGACCACTGCCTCGCCTCCCATCATAAGTGAGGCTCACTCCTACTGGCAGCATTTCTGAATTTTCTCTTGTAAATCACACTACAGCCAGCACCTCGGCAACGTTTCCGATGGGGTTTCCTCACAGTCCACGGCAGGGCCAGAAGCAGCCCACACAACCCGGCCCCACGCGGCACTGATGTCACTCCCCCTCCCTGGGTCCCAGGGAGGCTGGACTTCTCAGGCCCTGAGACATCCCCATTTCCTATCTCCTCACAGCGCTGGCCCATTTCCAGGAGATCTGGAGTGTTTCCTCCCATTTATGAGTTCTTTATGTGACAATAATCTGCCAGTTGTCTTTTTGTCGCATCTGTGCCCAGATTTACTGTGAAGAGCTCCCCGCAGCTCTGCATCATTACCTCGGGTCCCGTGCGCCCAGCCCTGCTTGGGGCACAGCAGGCACAGGTGATGGCAGCTGCTTCTGCACCCAGAACGTCCCTCCCAGCCCCGCCTCCCGGCAGCCTTCCTGGGTCACCTGCAGAGAGGAGTATCAGGGACCAGGACCACACCCAACATCCCAGAAGCAGCCCCATCTGAACAACTGTCCAAAAATTGGGACAACGCAGATGCTTTTCTGAGAGAAACTTGGTAAAGTCAGAAACCACTTTGAAAAGACAACCAGGAAAACAGCATGTTTGAAAATGACCAACACAATTCTAAACAAACCCTGAGTCAAAAACTCATAATGGAAATAAGAAAATACTTGCAGCTCATCATTAATAAGAATACTACACATATTTTCAAATGTTTGACATTCACCTAGAGCAGTAATTTTTTAAATAACCTTAAATACTGTTATTAGAATAAAATAAAAAGTAAATCTGAATGAGGTAAATAAACATCCAACTCAGGAGTTAGGAAAATAAAGCAGCTCAATGCAAAGAAAGGAGGGAAATAAGAATATGAACAGGAACCAAACTTTAAAACTAGCACAGAACAGGAGGGACTCAAGGAGGCCCAAAGTCAGTTCTTTGGAGAAGCTTATAAATGGCCATGTCTCTGTACACAATGATTACAAAAGAAAAAAAGAGGGAGGTAAAATAAATGGTATCAGGAAATAAACAGACTGTGACGATGTAAGAACGGCAGCCCCCCAAGGCCCCCAGTGCAGCCCTGACTGCGAGTACAGCCCATCCAGGTGGTCGGGGCACAGCCAGCAAATGGCTGCCCCGCCTTATAGTCAGCTACTCTGTACAATCTGATTTCAGTAAACTTGATCACTGAGGTGAGCGGACAAGTGACCAGAAAAACGCAATGTAACAAAGCTGACCCAAGAGGAAACAGAGAGCCTGACTGTTTTTCACAACTAGAAAAATTAACTGGCAATTGAAAATCTTACCACAGAGAAAACTAGGTCCAGTTCTTCCAAAAACTGATACAGAATATAATCACCACTCCCACTCGACATGGTACAGAGGTCCCAGCTAGCACAGGAAGAAGGAACAAGAAATAATGGTGAAAGCAGTGGAAAAGAAGAAAAAACTGTCCTTATCCACAAATGATACCATCATGTCGACAATAAAACTCAAGATTCTATAAATTATTGCATTATAAAAAAAGTTTATAGCAAAATGCCAGGACATAAAGTCTTCGGACAAAATCCATTACACTCCAAGGAAAAACCTGGTTTCTTCCAGAAATAAACTTTGGAGGGGGGGAGATGAAGGAGAGTCCACAGGGACTTACAGGGTGTAGCAATGGACTGGGTATGGATCTCACTGGGACCTGTGGGCATGGTGCTCTGTGGTGCAATGGGACCCTGACTGCTGCTGGATTGGAAGTGTGAGAATGGAGTTCTGGTCATCTGCAAAGGGGTCCCTCTCTCAGGGACACCAGCTGACTGGAAGATTGAAATAGGAAAACTGTGTCAGCTTTAGAGGAAAGTACAGGTAAAATCATTATCATCTTGCCAAAGAATTTAAAACTAGACAGAGAAACACAAACCATGGCAGCAGTGACTGGCCACTGCAGGTGTTACACTGAGGCTCCTGTCCCCGGCAGGCACCCTCCTGCAGAGCAAACCCAACAGGGGGAGATGTCTGCGGCAAAGCTGACATGGCTCTGACTGCCAGGACACACAGGACAGCATGCAAATCACTAACAAGACAAACTCAAGAGAGAATCAAAGAGTTAACTGTAGGAGAGGTCCGAATGCCTACTAAACAGAAAAAAATGATCCATCCCATTAGTTTCAAGAGAAATGCAAGTTTTAACCAGAAGAGACCAGTCCACACCCACAGGCCCCAGCACTGCCCTGCAGCAGGGCCCAAACAGGCCACCATGACCGACCCTCGCACCGGGACCAGGTACAGAAACCATGTTTCACTCACACAGAGCAGAGAAACAGAGGGGGCGTTTCTGTCCCAGTGATCTGCTCCTCCTCAAAGCCATGCCCTCTGTGACTCAGGAGCAAAACCAGCTACAGAAAAAAGCAAACCATGCAGTTCCATTAAACAAGGTTCCAAGAGCCACAACCTCAGCAGGTGCTGTGGAGGGTCAGACACACGGAGCAAAACCAGGCAGAAAAGGCTGACTCCGCCCAACACCTACAGCCCACCCCCACCAGGGCCAGTGTCACCCTGGTCACAGGCAGCACTGCTCAAAGGGACAGGACCCAGCTACGGCCACCAATACACGTGACATGGCGGAGACCTGCCCACTGCTGCCCCCCCTCCTCCTAACCCACGCTGCCAGCGCTGTCATTACCTAGGGGCTGATAGTCTTGTCTTGAGGGTCCCCCAAAAGGGCCACAGCTCTCCAGCCCGCTGCTGCCAGTGATGGATCCATATGACATCTTCTTACAGAGGGGAGGGCCGCCGCCTTCTCATGGAGCTGGAGGAAACATAGACACCAGGTTAGGGAGGGAGAATGGTTAGTGCTCAGATTCTGGGTGCGCACCGAGTGCACACCGGGCCCGGAGCCGACCCCTCTGCTTCTTCACCCCAGCCGGTCCATGCCCACATCTCAGCTCAGTGAGCCCCTTTCAGGTGAAACTCCTGTCCAATGTCTGGTGTGGAGACACTGAGAACAATGCTCCCGCAGGTCCCCTCTCAAAGACCACAGCGGACCCCACTGGAGCCCCAGCTACCCTGCTCTCCCCTGAGCAAGCCCGCCCTGCCTGGCGCCTGAGACCGCTGGGTCCCTCCCTATACACTGGTCCCCATGGCACCACTAGAGCTGAGCGCTGCACCAGGCTCATGCCACCTGCCGAACCTCTGTCTGCAGCTCTGAGAGCCTGAGCCACACAGGATGGCAGGAGGGCAGGGGGCAAGCTGCCTGGGGCTGAACCCACCTCAGCTACTTGCTGCCTGCACAGCCTGGACCAGCCACTGGCCCTCTGGGCTCAGCTCCCTCCTCTGTAAATGAGGGACGGAAGGCTGGCCCCTCCAAGCGGCTGTGGAAGGGAGCTGACATGGTGCTCAGAACAGGGCGACAGGCAGGATCCTGAGCTTGCTGCCAGGCATGTGCCTGCCCGGCCTGCACCCCCATGAACTGCAGCTCCAGGGAAGTGGGGGGGGGGACCTCTCCAGCCTGAAAACTATCACCTGTGACCTTCCAGTGTCACCAGTTTTCTTGATGTGCCTATGCACGCACTGCAGGGGACACCCAGGCCCACGACCTAGTGCACGTGAGGCCTTTCTGGCACTGGTCTGCTCTGCCACCTGCTAACAACTTCAGCGGAGCCCCGTGCAGGCCAGGCTGGGCTCTCAGCACTTTATAGCCCCTGCTCAACTTGCCCTCACAGAATCCTCGGCAGAAGGCAGGCTTGCGGCCACAGTGAGCACCAGGAGCAGACCCAAGCTCTGGGTCCAGCTGGGCCACCAGGACCCTGGCCCTGACCTATTCCTGCATAGCCCGTGCTGCTGGCCATCCAGAACAGGGCAGGAGGCCATCTGCATGGTGGGCCCCAGCTATCTCAGTCCCCAGCTAGGAATTATCAAGGATCTCAAAGAGCTGTGGTTTATGGGGATTACATCCATCGCTATTTATCACACTAGAAATGAAAATGAAGTTTTTAAAAAATACTTAATTCATTTAAAAATAACAACAGTGCCTGGCCGGGCATGGCTCAGAGGTTCAGCATCGACCTAGGATCCGGGAGATGGAGGTTCGATTCCCGGTCAGGGCACATGCCCAGGTTGTGGGCTCGATCCCGTCAGTGGCATATAGGAAGCAGCCAATCAATGACTCTCATCATTGATGTTTCTATCTCTCTCTCTCTCCCTCTCCCTTTCTCTCTCTGAAATCAATAAAGACAAATTTTAGGAAATAAAGAAAAGAAAAGAAAAATAACAGTAAGCTCATTATCTGTTAACATATATAACATCTCTTCATGAAAAATAACTCCATTTTCCCAAACAAACCACACAGTGCAAACAGCGAGTTCTTACCCTCTGTAAGTCCATAGGCAGGCTGAGCAAACAGGCTGTGCTCTCAAACCCCTCCCATGCAACACTGTTCTGGGTGGAGCATGTGAAGAAATCTGGCCCCATGGGGGAGCTGGCAGAGGGAGGACCTCAGGGACCCACGGGGATCCTCAGAGCACAAGCTGGGGATCCTGATGGATTCTACAGAAAGGGCATCGACCTAGGATCCAGGAGATTGCGTTTCGATTCCAGGTCAGGGCACATGCCTGGGCTGTGGGCTCCATCCCCAGCAGGGGGCGTGCAGGAGGCAGCAGATCAATGACTCTCTCATCATTGATGTTTCTATCTCTCTCTCCCTTTCCCTTCCTCTCTCTAAAATCAATAAAGATATTTTTTAAATAAATAAATAAATAAATAAATCATCAGTCTGAAAGCAGGGTGGCAGCTATGGGTGTCTCCCCAAGCGGACAAGACCCAGCACCATCCTCCAATCTCCAGAGGGTAGCCCTGGAGAACCACCAACTTTGTCCAGGTTCAGGTGGACCTCAGGCAGGCACAGGGACCCAAGAGGACTGGGTCCAGTTCCATAGACACACCTGCATACCCGCTGTGGACCAGGCACTGTGTCCAATGTGGGCGAGGTGGGCCTGGGCCTGGCCTTGGAGACCTGAATACTTCTCAGAGTCAGCTGCAATATACAGGGACGAGGGCTCTGACAGGAGCTTACAGAGACCTGGGGGTGCAGCAGGAGCTCCAGACTGGGGGGGGAGGGGCTTAGGCAGCTCCCAGAGGAGGCTGCAGGATCTGAGCAGGGGCAGGAAGTAGGTGGCCCAGCTGGGTCTGACACGAGAGGGGCAGGGGCACTCTGGAAAGACAGGAGGAACAGCAAGGGCAAAGGAGAGACCAGGGCCAACTGGAGGAAGTGACAGAGGCTGGGTAGGCAAAACTAGGGACCTTCCCAGCCCAAGTACCCACAATTCGCCTGGCCACAGGCGGAGTAGCCAGAAGGGACCGAGGGGCAAAAGTGGCAAGTGAAGGGTAATGAGCACACTCAGTCCTAGAGGGTGGGAGCGAAGGGGGATCCCAGCCCGCTGCCCCCTCAGACTTGCAATCTCACTTCGCTGCCTGGAACATGTGGATAGCCCGTGTCTGTTCAGCACATGGAAGCCCCAGAGTTGCCCCAGCCAGAGGGCACTATTGGGAAGAGGAAACGCCAACACGTGTCTCCTGCCTGAGGCTCAGTGCCCACCTGCTCAGCACACTAGAATCCAGAAGCCAGGGGCCATGGGGCACTCAGCTGCCAAACCAGACTCCATGTTCCCCGTGTCCTGTGCCCAGGCTGTGCCCTCTGCTCTCTCCTGCTGCTCCCGCTCTCCACCTGCAGCCAGGTCATGCCCTGACTTCACAACTGAGCTGTCCCCACTGGCAAGGGCAGGCTGCAGGCTATAGCGGGGCCAGAGGGGAAGGAGGAGGGGGCAGCTGGACAAAGGAGAGGGCAGCTGGCAGCCTGGCAGGCGGAAGCCACAGTAGGACCAGGCCACAGGGCTGGGCAGACGCTGATCGGCTGTGGTGCCCAGGAATGGCCCCAGACTGCCCCAAAGCTGCCAGACAGAGGTCACAGGAACAATGTCCGCTTCCTAGGAAACCTCCTACTGAGCGGCTTCCGTGACCGCCCACCGGGGCTGCCAGCCTGCTCCAGCCTTGTGCCCTGGGCTGGCGCCTGGCTCTTCCCTGGGCACCACCCCCAGCAGCCTGAAGAGAGCCATCTGTCCTTGTGCTGCCCAGATCCTGTTCACAGGGCAGCAGAGGAAGCGAGGGTGCCAGGGAATGCCCCAGCAACACAGCCAGCCCCAGAACAAAGCCCCCAGGCCACAAGAAGGGAGTACCCGGATATGGCTCCAGGCTGCGCCCTGCTGACCTGGCTCCAGGGCCAGGGCAAGGCTAGGACAGGGTTCTGGGAGTATAGCCGTCCTGTCCTTCAGGGACTAGGATGGTGACATGGCTGAGTTTGCTCCTTCTGGGAGGCCTGGGCCACTGTAGCCAGGCTGGGGCCACTGTGTTCACTCACATCCTAACCAGGCCACAGGCAGACACGTGAGGCTGGACAACTCAAGTCAGTGTTGGCCTGACAATGGCCTCAGCCCCACGACAGACCCCCAGCTCGTGGCCTATGGTGGCCCAGCCCCACCCCTGGGACAGGGACAGACTAAGGAGTATGTGAACCACTGCTCACCAAAGCCTGCCCTTGGGGAAATGTTTTCTAGGGCAAAACGAAACTGCCAAGTTAGAGGAGAAAATGAGCCCCCATGCCTGTGGCTGCGGGAGCTGGTGGGGTGCCCACCAAGGCCAGCCGCCCACAGACCCTCACCCCCAACACGAGGCACCTCCCCAAGCATGTCCAGGACAGAGGCCCACCCTGCCAGCCCTCTACCTGCCACTCAGTGTGTGACCTTGCAGCCCCTCTACAGGTTAGAGCTAGAGGACAGCTCAGGAGGCTGCACCCTGCCCAGGTTCTCGCCCCCAGGCAGACCAGGCTCCACTGCAAGGTGCTCCAAACCTCAGAGATCAATGTGACAAGGGCAGGTGTCCCCTGCTTGGCTCTGCAGACTTCTCTGATGACAGAGTACACGGTCCAGTCCCAGCCTGCCCAAGCTGGCCTGTGTCCCCACCAGTCTAGAGCCCAACCCTAGTCTCCTCCCCGTAACAGGTACCAGGGAGGGCAGCCCCAGGGGAGGGCATTGGGATCCTGAACAGGTGCTTACTAGAAACAGGTGCTGGCCCCTCAAACCATATGTCACCTCACTTCCAGGCCCCTCTGCAACAGCCCTGCTCCCACATTAATACCTATAAGTCCCAAAGGGCTCCTGGGCTCCAGCCACCCTCAGGACCCTCCTACCCTCCCTCCAAATGGCCCCTAGACCCTGCTACATGCCTAGATGGCCCCACAGGGGGCCCCAGAGACAACCCATCCAAAGGAAATGTGGGGGCCTGGTGAGGGGGAGCTGCTAAACCCTGGGCTGCAGTGAAAGTGCCCAGCCTTGCTCCAGGTGAGACGGATTCATCTGCGTCTGGTGTCCTCCAGGAGGGACCTCAGTCCAACACGTACAGAGGCACCCATAGCAGGCCACCTACACCCCAGTCCTATGAGGGAGGCCAATGCACCATCATGGGAACCTCTGAGTCCCACACTACCCTCATCCCTACCCACACCCCCCTTCCCACACACACCTGTCACTGCTGACAGCCCTCAGGACCTCACACTCTCCCCACATTCTGGCCAGCACTGGGGCCTCCTCTGGGTCTCTGTCCTTCAGCCTTCTGTGTCCTCTGTCCTCTCCATGCTGTCAACCCCAGGTGCCCCTCCCCAGTCCCGCCCCAACCCCTGCACAACCACAATGCTGGGTAACTGGCTCTCTGGTAAAATTGTGCTGCTGGGCAGCCCGTCCACCATCCCAGGGCCCAGGCAGGTGCTGTGGGCTACAGCACGCTCACCATCACAGCCCCAGTCCCCTCACCAGATGCACGGTGAGCCCTCTCCAGGTCACACTGCCAGGCCAGGAGTACGCAGCGGCTGGGCCATGGGCTGAGATCTCATGTACATCAGGCCTGACTCCAGGGATGATATTTAGTCTGTCTCTCTGGAATCCCTGTCCTTTCTTATCCCCTCCCTGTCCCCTGGACCAAAACAAGCAAGAGGACTTTAAGGGGGTCATGCCCAAACACCTAAACTGGGCCATGCCCAGGAATGTGCCAAAGACTGAGGCCAGTGACAGGCCTCACATCCTGCATTCCTAATGCCTTCCCTATGTGAGGAATGGTACAGGAAAAGAGGGAGGAGGGAGGCAACCCAGGAGGCTTCCTGAAGGAGGCAGGCTGGGGGAAGAAGAGGATCCTGCTAGGTATTGCAGAAGGAAGGAGCCAGGGCCTCACACACTGCCTGAGCCTCCTGCTGTGGCGGCCTCAGCTCACCTGGAGGCCTGCTGGGAAATGACCTGCAGTGACACTGCCCCTGCCCAGAGCTCTGCTCCACCCTGGGCCCAGCCACCAACCCCACCTCGGAGGCTCCAGGGAGGCAGGAGGCCCCAAGGAGGCAGGAGGCCCTGGGCTGTGTTGCTTAGAGATGGTAGTTCCCTAGGAGGGCGGAGGACAGGAAAGGCGGCAGTGGTGCTCCCGCCACCGGAGCTATTCCAGGTGATTCCCCCTGCTAGGCACCTGCCCCCGAGGCCATGGACACCATGAGTCAGTTATTCAGAAGCCCTCAAGCTGGAATGATGCCATCGGGACCCAGAGTTCCCTCCACTGGCAGCTACCCACGTGTCCACCAGAATGCTTCAGCCACATGAATGTGACCTTGGGGTGGGTGTCTTGGAAACCCTGGATGAAGGTGACCACATTGCTCAAGACCAGGCCGCCTGACAGACTGGGTCCCGCGTCTGGTCATACTTAGCACCAAGACAGGAGTATCATGTGGAAAAGATGTCTGGGATCTATTTGGGGTCACAGGGTAGATGACAAACATCTGCCATGGGTCTGGGGGGGGGGG